AGTTGAATCGGTTGTTTTACGCGAAGGACGTTTGTGGAGTCGTCGTTCCCGGACGATGGCGCCAGCGTCGTGGAAACGTTTGGTAAAATATGAACGCGAACGTTCGCGTTTTACCTGTGTTAAGTAGTAAATTCGAGCATTAGTCAGGCGGGCGGCGACTCGATTGACTCTTGAGACAACGAGTGCATCCACGAGCTATTTTGAGAATCTGTGCAGAACAGAAGATTTTTGGAATCAATTTTCGCATTTTTTTCCCCGCCCCGTTACACTAATTACTTTATAAAAAATATATTTTTGGACATTGGATATGTATGACTGCTATGAAGTATAAAATTGTATATCTTGGCGTTTTGTATTAGTATTAGTATTTATTTTATATTATGTAGTATATATAATATATATAGTGTATATTTTATATTATCATAGTATTTATATTATTTTATATAATATGTTATATATCTATATGCATATACTATGTTATATATCTATATGTATAATATGCATATAGATATATATAATATGTTATATATCTATATGCATATACTATGTTATATATCTATATGTATATATATCTTTATATATTCAATATTTATGTGACAAGTAGACCGTAAACGTTCATGCAAACAGAGACTTGTTTTATTTACTAAATATCGTAACTCAATCGAAAGTTCTCCAGGACTGTACAAATAATTTCTTCTTGCTCGTTCGACGTTAATAAATTTCAGTCTTAACGATAAAAGGGACGGACGATACGTCATACGAGTAGGATGAAGGTACCTCGAGGACCTTTTTATTTCTTCAATTTAAATTTCAAAGTGACCAATCGCTCGTAACGTAAATCCTCCTGCACAAACGAAACAACACGGAGCCGAAAAAGGGCCGAACTCTCGCGTCCGAACGACAGTTACGAAACAATATTTTACAATCTTGTTGCATTGTGCAGCATTTTTATGCAGCAATTCCCTTCTTCGTCGAGATGTTGGCGCGTGTGTATCGTTACGACTTCATCTACGGGGCAATAACGTCGAAATTGCTTTCTTCCTTTCTTTCTTTCTTTCTTTCTTTCTTTCTTCTTTTCTTTCTTCTCTGAAGGTAATTCCTTATTTGAAGACGGGCGCGTTGGGCAATCGGTCGCTCGCAACCAAGTAACTGCGTCCTTTCCCTTTGTAACTGACTGTCCGTCTTGAAGCTTTATCGTCCGTGGTGCTTCGGTTCAACGTAGAATGAACAGAAATTAAGGAAAGAAGAAAAATAAGGACTGAGAGAGAGAAACGAGCAGAAGGAAGAAAAGGGGGAAAAAATGGAAGAAGGCAACGCCCTCCGTCCTTGGCGGAGGGCGTACATCGATAAACGTCGCTCTCGAACGGATCTGCTCAAATAAAAACGTGAAACTGGGTTGGTCGTTAGCGACTCGTAGCCGGCTTGTTTCCTCATCAACTTGGCCGAGCAATTAAAAGACGTCGGCGACTTAGCCGATCGAACGACCTGAATTCTGACGGAAAAGAAACGCCGATTGTACCAATCGAATCGACCATTTAACGCGGTGACGAATAAATTCGTTTTGCGCAGTCTATTGTAGAATTTATTGCTTTTCTCGCTCGGAAAAGGCCGCGATAATTAATCGTTCGAGGGGGGATAGAGCTGATAAATTTTTCTTTTTTAATTTAACACCACCTTAGAGTGTATTTGAGAGAGAATTAGAGTGTATTTTAACGTGGGAATTAAAAGTTCCCCGGTTAACGTAATACACCGAGAGAAATTTACATAGAAATATTTATTAAATAAATCGGGCAATAAATCGGATATGGGATAAGTTAAGTTAATGCGTAGCATGTACGTAACGAGCATTTCGAGATAACAGAGGGACCGTGTTAGTCGAAGGCCGCGATAATTCATCATTTGCGGCATTGCAAACGCATTATGTTCCGAGATCCTTCATAAAATCCTAGCCGGGACAAACACCCCGAATGATTATAATTGATATTTATAAGCGACAACTAACGAAACGCTAATTAATTTCGCGGGAACATGTTCCAAGGCGTCCATAATTATCGATTACGTTGGAATATATGTCTGTCGTATGTACGCGAGCGAAATTTCCCCCTCAGCGAGAGGAGTGTTAATTAACGACGATGAAAAGTGTGGAACAATGAAACGTTCATCTGTCTGAATTAAAAGATAGTCAAAATCACAGAGATCTGATAAGTACGTATATAATATTCATTCCTAACGAATACCTCGTATATATGTATATACTATATATTTACGACGCGTGATGTTTTAACGAGATCGCGATATTTATCATATATACAGTGATTTTTAAGAAAAATATTTTTTATTGTTAAATAAAGTATAAAAACATGAAAATAAACTTGACTATCTGATTCTTTATAGTTTTAGGAAACTGAAGCTATTTTTTAACTTTCAAGATTCGGTTTCTTCCTGGCTGAAAAAATTAAAAAACATAGAATCAATTTTGCACCAGAATTTTTTCAGATTTACAAGCTTTATCATTAGCCCCGACCTAAACCCCATCGAAAATCTATGAAAAAAAAAATTCTAGACGCACAAATTTCCTCCTAGCTCAGTAGTAGAACTATATGCTCGTGTTATAGAACAGTGGAATCAAATGCCACCTGCTCAAGACTGTTTGAAAGTGTGCCAAGACGTATTAGAGCTATTATCTAAGCAAATCGCTTATGGACAAAATATTAAGGTATGATAAAGCTTGTAAATCTGACTATGAAAAAATTCTGGTGCAAAATTGAGTCTATGCTTTTTAATTTTTTTCAACCAGGAAGAAAGCTAATCTTAAAAGTTCTTAAAAATAGCTTCAGTTTCCTAAAACTATAAAGAATCAGCTAATCAAGTTTATTTTCATGTTTTTATACTTTATTTAACAATAAAATATAAATTTAATTTTCTCTTAAAAATTTTTGTTATTCACTCAATTTTGCACCCCACTGTATATATTATATATTATATATATTATTATATATATATATGTATATGTATGATAAATATCGCGAGCTTGTCGAAACATCACGCGCCGTAAATACAGTTAATTTCAATGTAACGAATCTTGATTTGATCATTGTCTTTCAACGCTCGCGAAATATTTTTCGGCCGGAAAGTGTTTCTCTCTCTGTTCGAGGACTTCTCTCTTCTCTTCCTCGAGCAGTGCTACAATATTCCGTGGACTCGATCAACAGGTACGCCGACAGGCGAGGGAAATATCGGACCAATTAAAGCAATTACTTCATTACGCAGGTGCTCTTCGGAGTAACTTTCACCTGAGGCCCCGGGTGAAAATTTCATTTCATTTCGAGCCTCGTCGAACGACAATCCAAAGTTCCTCCGTTGCAGAGCCTTTCCACGGTATTCAACGATCGCGATCCACCGTCGCGTAATTTTAATCAGTTCGAAAAGAAAGGGAAAATAGAAAAAAAGAAAAGAACGAGTTTGATATCTTCTAGCGTACCTTCCGGCGTTACCACAGTCCGGAAGTTTCTCGCATGGTAATTTGGGACGGCAGACAGAATCTCATTTGATCCGCGAACATCGTGCCGCCTTTGTGCGTGTGCGCGAAGCTTACGCGTTAACAAGATTTAGATCACCGCATAATCCACGCATAATAGCCGCCTGAACTAGATCGGCTACTCCCAAGCAAACTATTCAGCATTGCTGATTACAAGATTGTCATCGATACCGGCGAGTTAATGTGGCCCGTTGAGGAAATTTCACCATCAAGGGGATATTCTAGCGTGAAGTGCGTGTTTTTTTTTACTTTGTTGAGGACTTTTTTTACAAAGAAACTATTATACCTTCTACAGTCAAATTGACAAGGTTCATTTGTACGTATTTCAACGACGTTTTAAAATTTTTTGGGACAAAAAAAGTGGCACTGCATACTCTCAAACATAGTCGCTTTTAAAAAAGGTCGTCTCACGGTGTCCATGATTCCGGTTATTCTGCTTGTCGGAAGTAAAAAAACGTACGAGTTTGGCTATAGCAGGTACTAAAACAAAAGAAAAAAGTCGGTAATTAAGAAAGTGGCGATACTTTGAAATACGATTATCCATTTTTGCATGTTTTTGTTAAACCTCGGAAGCGTAAGAAAATATAAAAAATAAAATTGTTTGGTTGATTCTGGTAGGGGTTATAGTCACGCATGTACTAAATGCATACTTAAAATTTTGAGTCAATTGGTCAAGTAGATTTTGAGATATCATGGACATCGTTCTGAAAAACATAGTTTCCAGAAAAATGCCTTTAAAGTTTAGTATTGCTGTAACAATGACGCTGGTCGTCGCGTCCTTCAAACAATCATAACTTCGTTAATTTTAGGAGTTTTTTACATGGTTACAGAGATTCATTTTTGAAACTATGTCCTTTAAGAATATGCAAAAAAAAAAATCGATTTTTTTCAAAAGTTCACACTAGAATACTTCCTTAAATTGCTTCGTTAGGAGAGACAATGACATCCGAAACTGCACAAGAGCGAACTATCAAAGATCGTTTGGAGGATCATTGACGATTCTGAAAATTCTTTTGATAATTCAATCGCTTTTCGAGCGATATACAACAAAAGGTATATGCACGTGAATTTTTATATCTCTTGTTGCCTCGAGCGAGAAGCGTTGAAAGTGGGCTTCGATATCAGAGATGAACGGTAATCCTCGACGATCTTCGATCATCGCAGCGCAATTGAGATTTGATGCGGACCGGTGTAACGTTTAAGTGATAAACCTGGACGTAATGTGCTTTGAGAGCAGACTCCAGGGATGATGGTTAATTAAATTAAGTACTATCGATCCGGTTGCGCAATAAACGGCTCGCAATTCCCAAATAGGTTTGCATAAATAATCGACTTACGTCGCGTTAATCGGCGGATAAACTGCGCGTGGCTGTCGCTCGCTTCGTCGATCAGGAAATTTTGATAGCCAACGCTCTACGTTCCGTAAATGACCACGACTGAGAGTGAATCTTCTTGTTCCAGGACATCGATTACGAGGGATTTCGCAAATTTCTCGACAGCTACCTCGAGGTATCAACTCCCGACGAACTCTCGCGACATCTTTTCTTGTCGTTCGTTAAGAAGACACCTCGAGTCGATGGGAAAGCCTTCAAGGTACGATTCTCTTATCCGAGTTCTAAAAATATTTAAAAAAGAATAAGAGAAGAAAGAGGTAAAACGACAACTCTTCGAAATCCTCGTCGAAATTCATTTCTCGCTACTTTTGATTTGTGAATTGGATCGTCGAAGCTTTACTGAACACGGAAGTGTCGCGTATTCGTCTCAATGATCAAGGACAGCAATTTCTGCATCAGGAGATGGCCGTGCTGTCGTCGACGACCGCCTGTGCCGCCATTACATCCCACACAACGTCCAACAGCAACGTGAACAGCACAGGCTTACCTGGTGGAACATCGACCGATGGGCACGGTTCATCCTTGGCTGATAAAATTCACGGTCTCACGGAGAAGTTGCAGGCATTGGGACACCATAGAACCGAAAGTGAAGCTTCCACCAGAGCTCGGACAGGTAATTGAAACTTGATCTCTGAAGGCTGAAGCAGCTCGACAATTTTTACGCATTTTCATACATTGCGTGGCGCATTTGTCACGCAGCAGTTCGTTTGGAAAATATTGCAAGGCAAATGCAACGGTTTGCAAAAACCTACAAACAGGGAGAGGACATTGTTGTTGCTTTTAATCAACCCGCGGTTGTTTAATCCTTGAAACAGGTTGACAAAGGAATGGTTTATTTAGAATGTCCTTCGACGATAAATTTAGATCTTTGATAAAAGGTATTTACCGTGTAAACGGCCCGTATACGCGCGTGCATACGCGCGTGCAAACGCGTTGAATCGTCCTCTCACTTGCGCGACTTTGCAACGACGTTATGCAATAATAAGTTTCTCGAATCCAGCGTGAAAACGACCGCAATGTTTCTTACTGGGTACGAGAGGCTCGAACGATAAATACTTTTAGCCATGCTCTATTTAGTAGAGACGATTAACATGGTATGTGCGAGATGTTGCCTCTTTTTTTTCAAATAAAACTTTAAACTGCATTTCCGATTTCGTCAAATTTCATCGATTATTATTGACTTGTGAGAGTCAAGTTACGACCAGTGACTCAAAGATTCTAACAGAAACTGATTGACAAGACTACTGGTTCATTCGAACTCTGAAGGAACATTTCGTACATAGCAATTTATTTACTTGTTTCCATTCCTCTTGTCATTTCGACGCGCGAATAATTCATCGCACGGTTTCGATAAATAAATCTCAATTTCAGCATCGCGCTGATGTTAACAAATTGACAAACGTCCCGGGGCACAATCTGCACGCTGGCAAAACAACCGTCAATTATTTTTATTCATCTGGCGCGCGGACGCTCTAATGCCCGAATGATATATTGCGCGATCAAACGTTTCTGACGTTGTCACCGGGCGCTGTGTAAACGCGAGTTTCGAAGTCGCGCCGCAAAACGAAAAAAAAAAATCGATCGATCGTGCAAAGTGGGTCACCCCCGTGACAATGATCACTGATGTTTCATTCGGTGATTTAATCCCACGGCGAAATCGTCAGTGGTGTGTCAATTTTCCTCCCCGGCGGCAATAATCTGCATCGAAGAGGGTTTCGGTGTTCAGCCAGTGATAAACGATAATAAAGAACCTTGTTTCGAAAAGGAAAAAAAAGAAAAAATGCCAATGATATTAGTGAGTGATCTTTCTTTCTGAAATTCGGGCGTAAGATAGAGAGAATGAACTGAAAACCGCGAGAGAAAGTAAATCGATAAAAGACCGTGAAAAATGAAATTTCAATTTGACTATACTCTCTTTTGATTTCTTTATTATTATATTTTTTATTATTATATTATTATTTCTATATTATTATATTATATTTTTTATTATCATATTATTATTTCTATATTATTATATTATATTTTTTATTATCATATTATTATTTCTATATTATTATATTATATTTTTTATTATCATATTATTATTTCTATATTATTATATTATATTTTTTATTATCATATTATTATTTCTATATTATTATATTATATTTTTTATTATCATATTATTATTTCTATATTATTATATTATATTTTTTATTATTATATTATTATTTCGATATTATTATATTTTTTATTATTATATTATTATTTCTTGTACCATTAGTTTCTATCAAACACGTTGTTTTAATTTCTTAGCTATATGCACGAAGAAATGGCAATTTTGTTTAAAAACGTAACAACGAGTATGCTATTTAGCAATGAAAAACTCGGCCCTCTAATCGACAATCGGCCAGTAACCGAACCGACTGAAAATCGAAACTCTCGTTAACGGCTGGTTTCGGCCGCGGTCGCAAACGGAGCAATATTTAACGCGACGTTTTCGGACGAGTGTCAGCGGTTTTCGTCCTTCTCTCGTCGAGACCGTTTGCGGGGAAATTCAACGCGCGCACGACCGGACGACCGGTGTCGGTTTATCCGGTGTTCGCGTATCTGATTGATCGGAATCGGAGACAAAAGCGGTGAGAAACGCGATGATGGTGCCCCGCGAACGTCCATTAGACGTTGCCTCGCCAGCCGGGGTAAATCGAGAATCGGGTAGAGCCGCGATAAATCACGAAAGCTCTCACCGTCGTCCATCCGATCGCTCACCTGGCAACATCCTCTCTTGTGTTTCATCCGCTCGGCCGTTGAAGGAAGCGTCCATCCTATATTGACGATACAGCATACGTCGTACAGCTGCCACGACGTGATCGAGAAGAAGAGCACCGACAGCAGCCCCAGTCACAGCCAAATGTCACGGAATTCGTCCAGGAAGTCGAACAATTCGCTGCTCGTCAACAACGGGAAATTGGAAGGTAGGTTGAGCCCGATGTTAACGACGACGTCGACCAATTTGCGCGCTCCTCGTCGGCATTCCTCGTTGCTTCCCGACGGAATTACAGATCGTGTCTGATGGACACTTTCTCTCTCTTTTTTCTTTATTCGTTTCATTTCTCACGTTTTATTTTCGCACCGATTGATCGAAAAGAGAAATATTTCGATTATTGTCGTGTTTCACGAAGAGACAGAGAGAGTAACTTTCAGGAATCTACGTTTGCATATTTTGAAATTAAATTGAAAGTCTCGCGTAGAAGTCTCTAGAGCAACGGTACTAAAATTAATACGTGTAATAAATTCGAGCAGGAAGTTGTAGCTTTGATCGGATCCCGAATGGAAAGCACAGGCATTCTGTTTCGAGGGGACACAGCGAAACACCGCCGATAAACGTCCGGGCTCGAAATGTGAAACGAGGAATAATCTCGCGATTATAGGCTTGTGTCTCGAGTTAAACGGCACAATATCACCGGGATGATCGTAACAGTACGTAACACTGTCTCTTTTCCCTCCCCTCCCCCGGTGATCATCGTTCGAAGATTCTTTACGACGAGTCGTGATATATAGATTGACAAACAAATCGATGCCATAAAAGCAAACTGCTCGACACCGTAAAACTTTTGTTGTCAAGAGTATGAACGACTTAATGGACGCGTCCGCTAGGTAGCTCGATGATGTCTTAATCGATTTCCCTCTGCGTCACGTGTACGAAGCATCGCAAAAACTCTTGACGCACATCCGATCGTGCGTCGCTTGATGAAAAAAAAAAGAAAAATTATTCTCCACGCTTACTTACGTCGTACGTTCTCCCATGTCGACAGATCCATTACCAATATCAAAGAGCAAGAAAATTTCTCTCTTGTGATCTTTCTATTTTATTTATTGTCGTGTACTTGTTTTTTGCTCGCGAGGAAGACACGAATGAGGGAGAAAATAAGAAATAGATTTATGACTGGAAGTAGAAAGATGACAGATTGGTCAGACTGGACCGTAAAAGTCCAGTTGCACGGTGGATAGGAAATGTTAGAGGACAGCAAACAGAGACAATCTCATTACGATGACATTACATATGTACAAATTCGTAAAGTATCTTTTCGAAAGATATTCCCCTTCTTGAGAATAATGCTGCAAGAGACTCTCACAAGAGAGTTGCTATCACAACTCGCTATTCTCTGTAACTTCCTCGCAATCTGCATTCTGCCCGACTCCGTGCTTCCACAGTTACTTGAAAAGTGTTTATAATAAATCTCGAAATTCCTTTTAATCTTCACCTAACCGTCGTTGAGATGTTGCGAACGATTATAGAAGTTTATTATCTCCCGCAGTAAGTGCCATTCGCGACAATTTATCGTTTCTATAGTTGACAAGTTCGCGCGGCAGAAATTAACTCGCAGTAAGAACTTGCGTGTAAGTAACTCGCTCGACAAGAGCTACTGTTACTCACGGTATAATTTTTCATTGAGGTGATATGCTGGCTCGCGTCGAAAGAGCTTCATTAATTCAGTAAATTTACTCAAGTCAGAGTTCAGTTAATCTAACGGCAACTGAAATTTCATTCAGGCAAACGAGGTTGCGTAAATGTAATAACTGCGAAGTACGAAAGTTGCGAAGATGAAAGGGTGTCTGGGAAAAAAGAGTATCGGGTAATGGCGAGTAAAGAGTGACCTTTAATCCGTTTGGATGTCGTGGAAATATTTAGCAGACTTTGACGAGATTTTGACATGGTAGACTAAACGTACGTGATCTTCGAAATCCAGGAAATCGCGTAAATATCCGTTTTAAAATGACAGTTTGATCTTTGCGAAATGTCACGGCGTGACCCGGGGAAAATTCAAGATTAGCCGTTTTAGCTGCCGGGATCTTTGCGAAATGTCCAGCGCGAACGAAATCTCAAAGGCGATATATTTTCGAAACATGAAAAGAGTTGAGCGAGCGACATCAAACGTTCTGTTCTTACCTTGTCTTGTTGTCACCTTCGTTTCGTGATCAAAAAGATCGATTTCGTCCGGAGGGAATTATTAAAAATGACGGAAAGGCCGCGTGACGATGTGCGACGAGACAATAAAATATTAATAAATAAACGTATAATTAAAATAATTATTACAATATGCTCCACGTGTTATGATTTTAAAGAAACTGTATAACTTATATATTATACCAAACATCCATGAGATCCAGGGATCGATATTATCGATATTAAAGTTTTTTTTTTCGTCTTTGAAGAAATTCGGACTTGTATACCTCGTGTAAAACAAATATCTGTTTTTGTGGCATTTTCATAGAAAGAAGTGTTACATTTAGGAATAGTGTTCTCATTGAGCAGATATTTTACAGAATTTATACAATAAAAGTTCCGTGGCAATTTATTTTAGAACACATTCAATTAAAAGTTCATTTCCTCATTCGAGTACTGTTCATTGAATAATATTCGGTGTCAGTGGTATTTGCGACAAATTATCTGCTACTCCGACAGGAAAATTTTTATTTTCATATTTCATAAATTCCATTCGATCCGAAACCTTTACTTTCAAAAATTTCATTTGAAAATTCATTTATCTGCCCTCATCGGGAAGAACGTTTTTTTTTTCGCAAAAAACGTTTCACGTTTCAAATAGAACCAACTATTTAAAAGTTACTTAACTTTTTCGATCCCTGGAGTGATTCATTCTCTTATTTTTTTTTTTTTTTTTTTTCAACAACAGACACTACAAACTTACAGTTTCTTTCCTTTATATTAATTTCTGCCGATTCAACGCTGCCCTGTCGTTATTCCAATAAATGGCAACCAGTACACAAGTAAACAAATCAATCGACTCAATTTCAAACGTCGTTCGCGTCTTTCGATTGTCCCGCTACTCGCCTGAGAGCTTGCGTATTCGTCCGATCCCCGAAATAACGACGCGCCGGTATCATCCGGTATAAATAACATCAAACTAAGAGGAGACTCGCGACTCTTCTTCGACTTGAAACTCCCATGATACACTTTCTCAGTATCTCTCAAGACACGCGGCAAGCAACAAGTGTCATCTTCATATTTCTCGCTGTACATTAATCGTTGATCGTGATCGGCGGATCGCCTAATGGTACTCTGAACTACGACCTGGCTTCTCCCAACTCTGCAGTCGCTCGTTAATAATCGAATCCTGACAGAATGGTACCGAAGAGCGACCGAATACGTTTGTCGGATATTCCTGGGCCGTTGCTAAAGGAAGGTGAGAGAACGAGGCGATATTTTTTTTTTTTTTTTTGTATATTTTTGAACTGAGAAAGAGCAATTTAATAGCATTCTGAACGAATTGCGTTTCCTGCTCTCTGTGAACTTTATGCAGCGTGCAAAATTGTTGGACATCTGATTGAGCGATACGGCAGCGAGTGGAATTTTATTAATAACGATATGTCGCCCAATACAACATGTATCTCTAATTGAAATTTTTCCCGCAACGTTATTTCGATTTTGACAGACAGTCAATATTAAAACGTTAAAATATTCAAGTCCAAGGTACGAGATATCGAGTAATCTGGTCTTGCTTTTTAGTAACTAGCTTCCAAATAATTAACACACATACAACGTGTATCTCGAATTGAAATTTTTCCGCAACGTTATTTCGATTTTGACAAAGGGTTAATATTAAAATGTTCAAGTCCAAAGTACGAGATATAGACCAGTAATCTGGTCTTGCTTTTTAGTAACTAGCTTCCAAGTAATTAACACACACACAATATGTATCTCTAATTGAAATTTTTCCGCAACGTTATTTCGATTTTGACAGAGAGAGTTAATATTAAAATATTCAAGTACGAGATATCGACCAGTAATGTGGTCTTGCTTTTTAGTAACTAGCTTCCAAGTAATTAACACACATACAACGTGTATCTCGAATTAAAATTTTTCCGCAACGTTATTTCGATTTTGACAGAGTTAATATTAAACTATTCAAGTCTAAAGTACGAGATATCGAGTAATCTGGTCTTGCTTTTTAATAACTAGCTTCCAAATAATTAACACGCATACAACGTGTATCTCGAATTGAAATTTTTCCGCAACGTTATTTCGATTTTGACAGAGAGAGTTAATATTAAAATATTCAAGTACGAGATATCGACCAGTAATGTGGTCTTGCTTTTTAGTAACTAGCTTCCAAGTAATTAACACACATACAACGTGTATCTCGAATTAAAATTTTTCCGCAACGTTATTTCGATTTTGACAGAGTTAATATTAAACTATTCAAGTCTAAAGTACGAGATATCGAGTAATCTGGTCTTGCTTTTTAATAACTAGCTTCCAAATAATTAACACGCATACAACGTGTATCTCGAATTGAAATTTTTCCGCAACGTTATTTCGATTTTGACAGAGAGAGTTAATATTAAAATATTCAAGTACGAGATATCGACCAGTAATGTGGTCTTGCTTTTTAGTAACTAGCTTCCAAGTAATTAACACACGTACAACGTGTATCTCGAATTGAAATTTTTCCGCAACGTTATTTCGATTTTGACAGAAAGAGTTAATATTAAAATATTCAAGTATTCAAGTTCAAGGTACGAGATATCGGGTAATCTAGTCTTGCTTTTCGGTAACTAGCTTCCAAGTAATTAACTCGGGAAAGTTTAAGTGTCGCTCTCTTCGAGTAATTTACGTCGTAGAATTTGTTTTACCTTTTCGACTTTCTTCGAAGGTAAACTTCATCGTCTAATCGCATTATAAAGTCATTAACGGCTTTAATATAGTCGTTTTACTCGCATCGGCGATTGGTGTAAAACGACTATCGCTAATTTTCGCTAATGTCTGTAACACGAGAATTAAAAAGTACTCACGAACCACTCGTATCGATGTGAAAAACACTTGCGTCAGCGACACCCGCCGCGGCATATCAATAATTTCCCGTCGTTGGCAACGGACGAAACATCGAGCCCTTTTATCAAACGAAAATGACATCACGGAAGAGTATCGTTTTTCTTTTTTTTTTTTTTTTCTTTTTTTTTCCGCAACGTGTGCGGGGATTAATCGTCGCGGGAAACAATACACGTGGCCATCCAGGATGATTCTATTCATACGGCGAAATGAAATCTCGCCGGAAATAACGTCGAATAAGTTAACCCCGTCCGGGTTATTCATTACGCCGTGATCGTCGCGGCGAAGCAATCAATCGTGTCATCCGGCGAGCATCGATGGTTTCAATTAAATTAATTGTTCGCAGTGATCTCGTTGCTCGATGGAATAAATTGCAGTCAAGCTTCTCAAATGAACTTGCCATACTGTGCGCCTCTCTGCTGATGATCGATGAACTTCTTTTCCTTTTCTTCCTTTTCATTTCTCGCGCTTCGTACGTACTATCTCGTTGTTTGGACGAGTAATAAAAAATTAGTCGCAGTGTGGCAAGTCGTGGTTTCATCGAACGGCAGGACGTCAAAATCGTCCGATTGCACGCTGAACGTCGATATTTGTCTTTTGAATTCGTGAAATTTCGTCTGTCTAAAACGGCCGTCGTGTTAATTCGTCGTGTCGTTCGTTGTTCCGACGAGTATTCTTTTCTTGCACAACGATGTGGAACACGGCTGTAGAACCTCGTCAGAAACGAGAGCGAACGTGCAACTCGCAATCAGTAAATTGGTACTGCGCGGCGGTACTGTTGGCTTTTTTCAACGGTGGGAATTTAAAACACGATTCTCCGCGAGGACGAAATCAGTTTTCACGGCGGGTCGTTCGAAATCGGCCGCTCGAGATAAATCGCGAGCACAACCATCGAGAAATCACGGACGAAGCGGAATGGACCGCCAGAGAGTAATAGAACAGCCGATGAATTTGTTTCAACATTGTTGCGCGTACTAACGATAAATCGTTCGCCTTCCACGATTGATCGACCGGCTTTATTTCCCTCGTGACCAGCCGCTTTATCCTACTATCTTCCATCCTTTCTTTTTTCTTCTTTTTTTTTTTTTTTTGCCTCTCTCGTCTTCTTCCCTGTTTCCTTCACGGGGACATCTCAGGTGCCTGCGTATCCGGAGACTCGTAAAAATCACAGAGGGGGGAGAAAGGAGAGGGAATTACAGGGACAATATCGATGTCACGAGGCTTCGTCTCTCTTGTCTCCGATTCGAGACTATTTATATATCGGGAATGTAGCGAACTGCTAGTCGCCCCTCTCGGTCAGACAATCACGTTCTACTTGTTTTATTGAGTCGTCCTCGAACGGTTCAGAAATCGTCTAGTTCGTATGAATCGTCGAATTTCGGTGAAACTCAATACGTACGTATGTGTTCTTCTTTGCCGGATGATTGAAACATTTGTTACAGATGTATTTCAGGATCGTTCGGAATTATATTACTATCCGAGGCTACGCCAAGTGTCTATTTTAAAATCAGTGCCATTGGAAATCACTCGGCGAGGTTGTTTCCTCAAATCTCCGACGAGTGGCGGCCGCATTTTTCTACTCGTTTGTCTCCGTCAGCGCGGCCGAGGCGAATGATTCTTTCGATCATTCTTCGCAATTGCATCCCTCTGTTTAGTTACGTAGATGTTACAGATTTTATATAAAAAGATTTTCATATAAAAAAGAGATTAAGCGATAAACTGCGGCCGTAAGAAGTCGAGTTTGGTTATCGAGTTACGTTTTGTTATAAAAGCACACGCGGGAATGTAACAGCGGGATATCAAATGTCAAAGGTTGCTATACTTCACGCGAGAATAAACTGGCAATCAGAACGAACGTTTGTTGCATTTTCGATCGTTCGATCGAGGGATTGTTTTCGCATCGAAGCGAAATCGCGCGCGGCAAAACACGCAACTCCGCGCCCGCGAGTATCGTGTTCCAAGAATATTCATTATGAACGGGCGATCGTGCACGTGCAATGCTCGATCGTTATAATTAGAGCCGGTACTCGTGTGCATGCATCGATACTTGGTTCCTAAATCCCAGTTGCGAAGCAACAGGTTCCTTGCGGAGGCACTTAGACGCAACTGACGAAAGCCATTCCGTTCTAATCCAAAAATAATACTCGACCGGACTTTTCGACACCGCCGTCAGACGACGATTTTTCCTGGAAAGCTAGCCGAGGGAATTTCGCGCGAACTCTGACAAGTTGACGCAGTAATAGTCGCAGACTGTCTAGTCGCATCTCGTGGACGTCAGTCATTCACAATGGCGTTTTACGTTCAGGATTGCTGCATACACTCTGGTTGCAACGACGCCGTGTGACTCAACAGGTTTATGTTTCTAATGTAATGTAATGGAACTGTCGACTCACGCAATGGTTACGATGGTGGGAAATTGTAACGACGTCTCTCTTATTCTCTTCGAATAGAATTGTTCGTCAGAACTCGTTTATCACAAAAGAAATAGTACGTAAAATGCCGCGTTAAATCAGAGTTCCGGGAGAAAATTTTAACGTCCGACTTATAACCGTCCTTAACTACTCGGACGTAGATTGCTTTTAATTCCTCGTGCCGAATTAAACGTTGGATACGTGTAATCACTTGCGGCGACGAAGAGACTAAACGATAATGAATGAGTGGGCGAGAAGTTTTGGAGCAATTAAATGACACGCTTCGTTCATTATCTTCCAATTCACAGAGATGAGGAACTTCGTTAGGAAACAGAGCACGATAGATGTCCACTCGGTTAAAGTCAGCCTCAAGGATATCGTGTGCTACCTTTCCCTCCTGGAAGCTGGCAGGCCAGAAGATAAATTAGAGTGTGAGTAATCGTTTTCTTTTTGCATCGGGAAAAGTTAATTCGACCCTAGCGAAAACGGGGATATTTTTGTCCGATTAGATCTCTCGGGTAGCCGATATTAACGTATTTTCTCATGCCATTTCGATTTCGCGAGTCACGGCCTCGCGAAAGACAAACATTCACGCACCAACGAATCGCGACTGTGCGAATCCTTAAAACATTCAGGCTCGCGTGTCCAACGCCAGTCATTCTCTCGGTCTGCTTCGCTAGTTGCACTCGCGTACAGCGCACTCGAGCTTGCATATCTGCCTGCAACTTGTTGCACGCCAATTTCAACGCGCATTAATTCATTTGCCTTTTCTCTCCTTTTTTTTTCCAGTCATGTTCCGGCTGTACGATACAGACGGAAACGGCGTTCTTGACACAAACGTGAGTAGAAACGAGAGAAACTTCGATTTCCCCGTTTTAGTTTCTTTTCTTTTCCTTTCACTTTTTCTTCGTTTTTTTCTTCCCTTTCCTTCAATCACTACGGACGACAATCGATTCTCATCGAGCCTTCTCGACACGAAGGGCGAGAATGGAAATCGTATAGCAATTAGAATTACTTTGTACAGGTTTTGAACGATTTTATATTTATGTACTTCCTGTTAAACGAGAGGTTCGGCAGATTTTCCACATCGCGAAAGTAATTAATCGTAGATACGTCTCTACGATCGTAAGACGAAGTCTATCAACGAATTGAAATAGATCGGTTCGAAAGCGTCTTGTCTAGCGTAGCCACGGATCTAACATCATTATCGCGTGTCCCCAGGAGATGGACTGCATTGTCAATCAGATGATGAATGTGGCTGAGTATCTCGGATGGGATGTCTCCGAATTGAAACCGGTGAGTTGCGACGAATGTCATTAATATTCCTCTTTATACACGCACTGACACAATCACCCATGCGCACCCTGACTCGATGACTCCATTTCTATCTTATCCGAACGCGGTATATTCTTCCTTTCTCGGAGCCATTTTTGTAAAATTGATAGGAGAAACTTTTTCCAAAAACGTTCCTCCAACAAAGATGAAATATCGGGAATTTGCGAGAGAGATACGTAGAGTCCAAGTTCCTCGTACGTACATACGAACAGCGAATAAATGAGAAATCGATTTAAATAATAACTGCTCGATATTTCTAGATACTGCAAGACATGATGCTGGAGATAGACTACGACGCGGATGGCACGGTATCTCTGGAAGAGTGGAAAAGGGGTGGCCTGACGACGATCCCGTTGCTGGTTCTTTTGGGCTTGGATTCCCACGTAAAGGAAGATGGTAACCACCTCTGGAGGCTAAAACACTTTAGCAAGCCTGCCTACTGCAATCTCTGTTTGAATATGTTGGTCGGTCTCGGCAAGAAGGGTCTTTGTTGTGTTTGTAAGTATTATCGAAGTTTCTTTGATGTCGCGGTTCTTTCTTCGCGGGTGTTTTATTAGAAAACATTTCCATCTGATGAGCCTCCACCTTTCTTCTTTTTTCTTTTCTTTCCTCTTTTTCTCTCTCTTTCTCTCTTTTCCTCACTTTGCTCCTCGGTAATTCGCAACGAATTTTCGTAAAGCGGTATCGATCCGGTTTGTTCATCGAAGGGAAAAAGAGAGGAGTTGTTGTAACGCCTTAACTACCGCCTTAACTAACGATCCTTTTCATTTGCATCGAAACGGGAGACAAACGAGCCGTTCTCTTTTCCCACAGTCTGCAAGTACACGGTTCATGAAAGATGCGTCCAAAGAGCGCCAGCCTCTTGCATAGCCACCTACGTGAAAAGCAAAAAAACGTCGCAGACAATGGCGCACCATTGGGTGGAGGGGAATTGTCATGGCAAATGCTTTAAATGTAGAAAAACTATCAAGAGTTACAACGGGATCACGGGCTTGCACTGCAGGTGGTGTCAATTGACAGTGAGTGATCTTTCTTTCTTTGATCATTTCTTTTCTCGGATTTAATCTTTACGTTGGCAATTAAGTTAAATTACGTCAACAGTTTTTCGAAATGCGTGTAAGTAAGTTTTCGGTATTTTTACATAAATTTCGATGTAGAGTTTTTTTGGATTTTCACTGAAAAAAAAAAGAAATATACTAAAATGTACTAAAAATGTGCTAAAAATGACAACGATTTTACAGCTGCATAACAGATGCGTTTCGCAAGTGAGGGCAGAATGCACGCTGGGTGACTATGCAGTCCATATCCTGCCACCTACGGCGATTTGTCCGGTTGTCCTGGACAGGCAGAGATCGTTGTCCAGGGATAGCAAAAGGGGGAGCAAACACGGCCAGGATTCGTCGACTGTTAGCTCGGTAAGTGCAATGATTAAAAGACGAATGATTAAACACCAGTCAGACACGGCATCAAAGGATTCTAATCTGAGATGCAAAATTCTATTAGCATAGTGGATTCTTGACGTCTGGTACTGCAACCAATCAACAGCCAGCCATGTCCTTCCAAATTACACCGCCGCCGGGTACTGTGCCCCTCCTGGTGTTCATAAATCCAAAATCCGGAGGGAGGCAAGGTGAACGCATGTTGAGGAAGTTCCAATATATCTTGAACCCGCGCCAAGTTCATAATCTAGCCGTGGGCGGACCTATGCAGGGTTTGCAAATGTTCAAGGACGTGGAGAACTTTAAGGTGATCTGCTGCGGCGGTGATGGTACCGTTGGCTGGGTCTTAGAAACAATGGGTACGATCACAACGGCTTGAGAATTAGGTCCATAAATGTTTCGTTTGTAAGCATCATTTTATGTTTGAATCTTCAGATCGCGTTCAGTTCGAGCACCAACCCGCCGTAGGTGTCATACCATTAGGTACCGGCAACGACCTTGCAAGGTGTTTGCGATGGGGTGGTGGTTACGAAGGAGAGGCTATCCACAAAGTACTCAAAGTATGTAAATAAAAAGTGGATTTTTACTCGAATAGTTGAAAAGATGGATTATATAAACTTACGTATACTGTGTAAAATAAATTACGTATACTGTGTAAATTAAATTCTAGAAAATAGAGAAATCGACAACTGTGATGATGGACCGCTGGCAAATAGAAGTGCTCGATCAGAAAGATGAAAAGAAGCCAAATCAAGACAGTATTCCGTACAATATCATTAACAATTACTTCTCCGTGGGCGTGGACGCGGCGATCTGCGTAAAGTTCCATATGGAAAGGGAAAAGAATCCTGAGAAATTCAATAGCAGGATGAAGAACAAACTTTGGTACTTCGAGTACGCGACCACGGAACAATTTGCTGCCAGCTGTAAGAATCTTCATGAAGATCTTGAGATCATTGTACGTAAATGTTTAAGCCTAATTAATTCTGTTTGTCCAGTGATATTGATCGTGACTTTTCTTTCGTATAGTGTGACGGAACTCCGTTAGATTTAGCCCACGGACCTTCCCTCCAGGGTGTCGCGTTATTAAACATTCCTTTTACTCACGGCGGTTCCAATCTCTGGGGTGAACACCATACGAGACATCGTCTTGGGAAACGGAAGAAACGACCAGACAAAGAACTCAGCACCAGCAGCTTTAATTCGGTGGATCTTACAGCCGCGATACAAGGCAAGTATTTCATTAATGTTTAATAACCACTTAACAAAAAATGCAGTCAGAACAAATGAAAAATAATTGGTATATTTATAGATATTGGAGACAATCTCATAGAGGTGATCGGTTTAGAGAACTGTTTGCACATGGGCCAAGTGAAAACTGGACTTCGTCATTCCGGTAGAAGATTGGCTCAATGCAGTAGCGTCACCATCACCACCAGCAAACGTTTTCCAATGCAAATCGACGGTGAACCATGGATGCAGGGTCCATGCACTGTGAGTTAATAATTTTTTAAACATTCAATAATTATTTCATTATACGTATGCATACAAAATTTCTATACATTTCTATACATTGTTTCAGATTCATATAACACATAAAAACCAAGTACCGATGTTAATGGCACCTCCGCCAGAGAAAGGTCGAGGATTCTTTCGCTTCCTAAAGAGGTGAACTTCGATGTTATCAAACGAAACTGAAAAATCGAAATAATCAACTCCTGTCAGAACGTAGTTTCAACATCGTTCCGCCTGTTTTATCTTGTCCTAATTAAAAGAAAAGAAGAAGAAAGCGTATCAGTTCGATCGTGTTTCACATAGCTTCAGTGCTCGTCCGAGCGCGTGGAACGAGCTTCGACGTAACTTAGGTATTCTTGTGTACAGTATTTTTTAGAATAATAAGCATCGTTCGTCTTAGTGATAGAATCAGCGGTAGGCTCATCCAGGTTATCGGTATATTGAGAAGCTCGACATCGTGTTAAAATTTTGATCGTTTTGTATACTATGCTGAGATGCGCCGAATATATGTTCTTCTTTCTTGTTTCTCGAATCCATGACTTGAGTCTACCGCTTTAAACATGCAAGTAAGTACAAGCCCGTACTATTGCAATCGAGCGTATAATTATTTACATATACCGACACAAGGGATTGTACGGTATCATGCAAAAGAGAAAATAATCTTGTAGGTAACATTATCTAGATGATATTAACGAATGACGTCTTTAGTCATTCTTTTTTCTTCGTACAACACGTCGATAGAGATATCAGGATTTTATTTCTCCATAAAATATTACTGTTGAGGATAAGCAGATCATACCTCTTATTGTTGGACGAGTAAGATTTGTTGCATATAAAGAGTATAAAATTTAGTAAATTTTATATCAATTATATAATATATATATTTTATATTAGATATATATTATTTCAATTAAACGTGGAGTATGTGTTTGTTGTATGTTATTTTATATTCTATTTGTTGCTTTTTGATCTGTATATCCTCGACTGAGCTTGTCGTGTAGCTGTTTACTTTTATAAAGAAGAAAGTTTAGCGCATAAAACGACTCAAATTGTCCCTCTTTTTTGCACGACTCCGTCCAACAATTAAAGATTCTACTTTCCTCTCTTAACATTAAGATTTTTGTACGGAAGCTTAGTCGTAACTGCTTAGACATAAATCACGATCGATTGGTTTTATTTATTTATTTATTTATTCGTCCGAACTTATTTATTTATTCGATGGCTTCTAAGCCGGAACAATATATATCGTAAGCATATCAGCAAACCGAGCGCAGCTATAAAATAGCATCGTGAGGTTCAGTTTTTCCGCGTTCTATCTTTCGTATCGAATCGCACAATTAGACGTTACGAAAATTATGCATATATTTTCGATTTGATGCGATGTAGCTTGTTAATCGGTGCAATAGTTGCGCACAGTTATAAATTAGTTCATTAAGTTCCTTTTTAACTTATTGTCTTTTACACGTTGGCCATCTCCTGACACAAACAGTGTTAACGCTTTTTCAATTGTACGCGTATTAACGCACGACGGATCATTAAAAGATAGAAGTGGTACACATATTAAATATTGTATTGCTAAATAAGTAGGAAACAGACATAGATATATCCTATTACGAGGTTTAATCAAAAATCGATTCAGCCAACGTGTTACACATAATAATCAGTATTGTGGTATGGAATTCATAGGACTCGTAGGATTCTTCTATGACTGCGTCAGCACGCACTTTCTCATTGCCTGTACAAAGCTTCTATAAGTACATTTGCAATTTCCATTGCCTCGTTTCCACGGGTGCACCAAACTATTTATCATTAAATTACAGAAACCTTTTGATCATTTTTTCAGAATATATTTTTCAGATCTTCCGTCCGAACTATTTGACAATTGTATTGCATTTTTTTCTATACGTTGATTCGTAATTTCGTTGAACTATTGCGTTCAGTTTCAAGCACTCGTAACTTGCATTCGCTTTACATTATTCCAAAATGTCAATTGTAATAGAGATCAAAATGAATTTGATCATATTTTGACAACAAATCGTCGCGATAATATCGAGTAATATGCTTCGATCGATTTGCGAAAATAAAGAGTAATAAATTTTTTCACGCAGCAGCAGATAAATGTTAATCTAATCTGTATCTACGTATTTCGCTTTTGCATCGCGTTTCACGCGTGTGTGTTATGCTTTTGTATAAAAAAAAAGTGTAACGAAAAAATACGACACCAAGTATATAACTCCCGCAGGGACCATCACGACGTCGATAAACCATGTAACTTGTAGAATGATCCTAAATTTTATCTTGTAGCAGTGATGACCAACTTCGTGTGTAATGTTTCAATTCAACGTCAGCTATGCCCATTGTTTCCTCGAATTCTTTCAATTTCGTCATCTTTCTTGAAAGGAAGCGTATCTTTCTGTTCCCTTCCGCTTTTCTTTCATATTTAGCAAATTTATCATTTCCAAAGGCAATCGTTCACGAGTCAATATTTCCGAGCATATATTTCTCGATCATTTTACGTAGAGGAATTGATATAAAGTTTATTCTTCGCGCGAATAATGATCGTTTCCCTTACAATCGTTATATACGCGTACTTCCCTTAGCGGTTATACGATCGACTATAATATAATATAGTTGCTCTCGTTAGACGAATCGAAATATTACGCTTACGTATAATGATACAACCATTAAGGTCTTAATCGTTAAGTTGTTATTCATTAGCGGAAAAAAAAGTCGGACGAAAGGGGTGCGACAGAATTATCGATCTAATAAAAATGATCGTGAGAGTTACGAATAAATATATCGTCGTGCTTCTTCGTCGCGAAACTGTGAATACTATTGGCACAATAATTACAAATATTGTTTTTCTATTGGATTGGCGCAGTGTCTCAGTGTGCTTGTCATTCTAATAATATTATAGTATAAAGAAAGACCCAAATATCAAAAAAAGAAAAAAGAAGAAAGAAAAAATGACAAAAAAAGAATATGAAAAAAAAAGAGAATATATATATGTATGTATGTATATATATATATATATATATATATTCCCGTAGCGTGAAAAATCGATTATCTGCAACCGATATGAACTTTTTAACCCTTGATGCGAAATATCGATTTCCTCAAGATAGAAATATTTCTATTCTGATTTATGATTAGTATATGCGATACAGGGTGATCCATTTTCAAACATAATTTGTACATTTTCAGAGATAACACTAAGAATTGCTAAATTTTAATTATTATTTAATTAATAAATAATAAAACACTTTGAACACAGTTCTTGACACTTCTGCGTCAATTCTTCTTATTCGGTACTTTTAAACTTCAAATTCAACATATTCCTGTAATATAATTATTATAACAAATATAACTGTTGACATCTTTAAATGAAGCGCCCTGTATATATAAAAGTAACACATAGTAACATTGACAATAGTGCACGTCAATTATTCTTTAATAACTTTTTTTTTTTTCTTAGTAAACGCGCTCCATGACTCATAGCGGAACTAGTAAAGTTAGAAGGACAACAATTGTTATTTTCAGCGATGAAATAAAAACATCTTAATAGCCAAAGAATGAAAAGAAAAAGAAAAACGAACATTTCTCGTTGATGATTAATGATTAAGAACGCAGAACAAAAATGCTGGATCGTACGATTCGAATTGAAAATTCAGAGAAAACTGTTGCCTCGGTGCCTCGAATATTTTAGTCTACTTCGTTGCATGAAATATGACTGGAACGTGATAGAATAAAAATTACACAGAAACATTGATCTCTTTGTCGATTTCCAAAAATTCTCTTATATGATATCAATCGTATTTCCATTACCTCTGATCCTATCGAAAAATGTTTTCTTCTCTTCTTAAGTTTATTTCATTCAGGAGTATTCTTATATTTAAAAAGAAATACGCAGAAATGATTTTAAGATTTAAGAAATTTTTTTATTTCTTATTGTTTCATAAACGTAGCTTCTTAATGAACTAGGTTTTTCAGTGAAATATATACAGTCGTAAATAAATGATATACGTGTCTTACGACACTCATTCAATAACTTTTTTAAAAATCCTTCTATGTGATATATATTCGATTTTATTATTATTTTCATTAGCTTTTTTTTAATTTTTTATTCAAAAAATCGATATCGAAGATAGCATATATATTTTTTATAAGATCTAGTTACCAGAGGAATTCGAAATAAACGCAAAGGGTTAAAAAAAATAGAAGAATGCCTCACTGGGATTTGTAATATTCAAGCACAATTAAAAGATATTCAAATTTGAGAAATTTACTGCCACTTTCATTGGGTCTACGTACGTTTGAGCACTACTGCCATTTTCCAAAAGATAGTCACATATGGAAAGAAAAGCCTGTCTATTATAGTGTATTATACGAAATAAAGTGTAAAATCTACAATACAGGATCCCTTGCGAGCAACCATTTAAATAAAAAAATATTCTGTGTAGAACGTTGATTACTGTTAAATCATATCATAACTACAAATTCACTATTACCGAAAACATAATTCTTACAACTAATATGATTGTTTTATAATTTATTTAGATAAAGGAAAATATTTAAATAAATATTGTCTTCTTGCCTGTGCGGTCTGAAAGATGATTGAATGAAAAATGATTAGCGATTGAAACGTTTCAAATTAAGATAACATAAAGCGCCACATAGTGCGAAGTATATAAAATACCGTCGGTGCACTTCCGGTCCGTTTTTCTGACAAGTATCTGATGGCTGTCTGACATTTCGTTTTTGATAATTTCATTGAATTATGTTCGTGAAGCACGTTATTTATTTGCATCGATGAAACAATAGTTCATATATGTTTTATTAAAATAAAGGACGCAATCGTCAATAAACAAAATTTCGCAATCCGGTAAATATATGCACGAGAGGTAAGGCTGATAAAATATCGTTATCAGGCGTGCCACCGGCAAGGGTTAGAATTCCGGCACGCTAATCGCCTAAAATTTTGTTAATTTTACCACTTTTTAGAATACGCTGTAACATTTGGCAAAATGATCAAAACAGGAGAGGATAACCTAAAACTTCAATACCAGCAAACAGTGTAAATATTTGTTAAATCCTCGCTTTATTTCATTTATTGGTGAACAAAGTAACAATTTTTGTACACTTCTACATCTCTTTTATTCATAATAATTGATGCTTTTGTTTTTTATCTGCTTTTTTTTATTGCGCCACGTTAATACAAAGAAAATTTTCGAATTTTTTTATGTTAATCAATAATCTTTACGATTAAATTTATCGACCTCGTTTTAATTACTTCTTTATTGTTAAATTTTCTTTTTTTCATATACGTATAAAGATTGTATGCTTTACGTAGGGAATTCACTGGGCAAGAAAATCAACATTCAGTTGAATTATATAGTACCAATGTTGTTGTTATTCCTTCGCCAGGAGGACATAATCATGGTAGTTCGAAGGTGAAACTAAAAAATATTGTTGATTTTACATGGGAGCATAACTTTTATCCAGGACAATTATTAGCTGTTCATATGTCTGGAAAATATTTAGCTTATGGTATAAAAGGTAATCTTCAAATTCAAATATAAATTACAACTATTTTCTTGTCATTTAAATTTAAGAAAGTAACATTATTTAGTTGGTAATGGAGGAGGTATGGTTAGAGTTGTATATAAAGAAATGGAACAAAGAGCTCTGTTAAGAGGAATGCGTGCAGCAATACAAGATCTAGCTTTTGCACATGTTTCAAATGCAATTTTGGCATGTGTTGATTATTTGGGAAATCTTTTTATACATAACATCGAATCAACACCATCTGAATTGTTATGCAGTTTATTGCTGCAAGTAGATGCAGAAGATATATCTCCTACCAGTCATCGTGTGATATGGTGTCCGTATATTCCTGAAGATGTACCATCAGATGGAGATAAAGTTTCAAAACTTTTAGTTCTAACTCGTGGTTCCAAAGTAGAGTTGTGGTCAGTTAATACTGTTTCAGCAAGATTCAGATCAATAGAGGTGAATGTGTACCTTACTTACAGATTATAAAATCCATACAAAATGAACAAAGTATCCAACTGTTTGACTAAATGATAGGCAACTGATCCAGCTGTAAAGGAAAATGGAGGCATGCTAGAAATAGACCAACATTCTGACACAATCATAGAAGCAACATTCAGTCCAGATGGTACAGCTTTAGCTACAGCTAGTTTCGATGGAGAAGTCAAATTCTTCCAAGTTTACTTACATAGCAATCCTCATGGTAATCAAGCACAACCTCGTTGTTTACATCAATGGAGACCACATGGTGGACGACCTATTTCCTGCTTGTTCTTCCTAGATGATCATAAAACATACCATCCAGAGTAAGCAGTGCTTAAAAGGGTATTCTATTAAATTCATTTTATCATTAAAATTATAGTTATAATGATTATTTTATTTTGTTCCGTAGAGTTCAATTTTGGAGGTTTGCCATAACTGGATGTGACAATAATACAGAATTAAAAGTTTGGTCTTGTGAAGTGTGGTCCTGTTTGCAAACCATTAAATTTGCACCAACACCTTCTACCGGTAAATTACCGGTGTTGAAAGCCGGCTTAGATCTTAGCGCAGGATATCTTTTATTATCAGATATATACAACAAAGTTCTCTATATATTAAGTCTTACAAAAGATAATGATGAAGTAACATCAGTAAATTCAATATCAGAATTCCTTCTCCCATATCCAATATTGAGTTTTGGAATTGTTGACGCTGGTCTACGTAAAGTACGACCCACTGGCGAATCACTGGAAGACTTATGTCCTTGTGAAGAAGATACCGAAGAGCAACTTGTTATTAGGATGTACTTAGTCCAACCAAAGTCATTACAAGAATGTCACATTGCTTTTAAACCTGCCTCACAAGTGAGTGGTAACTGCCTCATGGATACACTGACTCATGATGCACTGGGCTACAATGAAGACTTACCAGATATGGGAAATGTTAATCACAATGGGATTTCAGGGGAGAATTGTGAAGAAAATCGTTCCTTATCTACTACAATTGAAACAACAACAAATCATAATACTAGTTTAAATCTAATGACACCTGATGCATTCAGTTCGCCTGCTAAAAAAGAAAATAATGAATTAGATTCTCGCCCTAGTAGTCCAGAATTAGATAAAGTCTTATCTCCTAGTCCCTCGCTTGCACAAGCGGTACAGGCTCTAAATGCAGATCCACCATTAGCCACAAGCGAGTTAGAAGAACAAGCACCTGCAAGTAGTAATAGCAGCCCATCCAGAGAAGTAAGAGAAATTTTATCCCTTTCAAAAGATGAAGAAGCAGAAACTGAAAATAAACCAGAAACTACCAATACTGCTGATGAAGATTGGCGTAATATTCCGATGGTATTATTAAAAGATGTAAGCAGGCACGCAATGCAAGAAGCTGATGGATTCACAAACGACGAAGAAAAAAGAAAAAAATTAAAAGACGAATCAAAATCGACGACACATACTAAAGGAAATGCTGAAAATACCTGGCAAACAGCAAATGAATTAAATACTCTTGAGTTAATAAATAAAATAGAGTCAATTTTAGAAATAATTCAAGATCAACGACAAGAATTAAGAGAATTACGTACTGAAGTGACTAGATTAAGACAAGAGACACCAATTTCCACGCGAATAGACTCTGCTTTAACACGAGCTACTCAACAACAAACTGCAACTTTTGAACAAACGTTATATGGCCAAATGGCTCGCCAACACGAATTCCTTAAAACACTTGAAACAACAATTAAAGATAAAATTGAAACTACTTTACCACGTATTATAGAAAACACAGTAGAACCGTTAAAGCATCAACTTAGATTAGATTCTGCTCGAATGGATGAACTCTTAAAAAAGAATTTAACAGATTTAATTAATAGTAACCATATAAAAGATACACTTACTACGGCAGCAATGAATGCAGCAAAACCAGCATTAGACGCAGCATTTAAAGAAGCTTTTACAAATGTTCTTCTACCTGGCATGGAGAAAGCATGTCAAACAATGTTTAGACAAGTACAAGATGCTTTTGTTAGGGGTACTCATGAATGTAAGATATCTGATACAATTTTTAAAAAATACCAATATATCTAATTTTATATAAAACATTTTTCTTATTTTTTTTAGATCTTCAAAATGTGGATGCAATTGCTGATAAACAATATCAACAAAAAAATGAACAACAAAGTGAAGCATTATCCGCATTAGTTCGCAAAGAATTACAAACCGAAATAAATAGAGGTTTAATTATTCTTCAAGGAGAAATGACATATATTCGTGATTTTATTAAAGATCATTTGAATCAACAACTTTCTGAGATAACAAATGCGCGGTAAGTGTATCATAAATTATTATATCAAAAGAGTTTTTATAAAAAGATTAAATCAATCTTATATATTATTTATAGTTCACGAGCTACTACACCTGCTATACCAGTATCTGCAGTTGCCGATGATAAAGCGCGAGTTATATCTCTTCTTCAACGAGGACAATTAAATGCTGCCTTCCAACAAGCTCTTAGTGCTAGTGATTTAGGATTGGTAGTATTAGTTTGTGAAAAAACAGAACCATCCAGAGTATTTTCTTCAGTAGGACCTCAAGGTCAAACTTCAAGATGTATTTTACAACAACCTGTAATTCTTTCACTTGTACAGCAGTTATCTGCAGATTTAGGACATCGTACAGAGCTCAAGCATAGGTAATTTTTTATTAATAATACTTAATGTTAAATAAAATTTTCTGATTTTTTTATGTTTATTTAATAGGTGGCTTGAAGAGGCAATATTAAATTTAGATCCTAATGATCCAGTGACACGAGAACATATGGGTACTGTGTTAATGACTTTGCAAACTCAGTTGGCTACTTTTGTAGCAGCTAATCCAAGTCACAGTTCTATTCGGCGTATGAAAATGTTAGCTATGGCTGCACGCGCACTTTTAAATCAACAACCTTGATGTTACATACGTATGGAGTAGAGAAAACCCATTAACATCAGGTTTTATATGTTTTGTTTAAAAAATACCTTAATCTGAAAGTAATATTCACATTATCTTCATGTTAAGACTGGCAGTAATTTACATAGAATATGACAGAATATTGTATAACGACTTATCGTTAGCAGTTTACATAATTTGTCGCAACTTGCACCTATAATCTTTTTAATTTACGAAGCATATACGTTTATAAAATATTCGAGAATTTACCAAAAAATTATTTTCTTGACCTTAAATAAATATTATATAAATGTATTATACAATATAACTAAAGTGATATAAATGAGATTGTCGTAAAAATAATGACACAATACATAATAAAAACAACTTAAATTATAAATTATTTTATCGATTATTAATAAAGTTTTATTAATCACCAATATTATTCTGTTGATATAAAAATTTAATAACTTTTATGATATACAGAAAAGATTTATTTTTAATAATTATAATTACATTTTTTGATAGCATTTTTCTGTAAAATTATGCTATGTATTGTTCTTATATTTAAAGCGAATTTCAAAATATTTCTACATATGATTAATATACATTTTCTTAATTCTCCTAAATGTTAACTTTGTATTAATCTATAGATAATGCATTTCATGACATATTGTATAATACACATTAAATCTTATAGCAATTAAATTTTAATTAGAATTTAAGTTATAAGCTCTAATGACTTTTTTAACGGAAGAATGTTTCATAAATTTTGTGTTTAAAAACTATATGTATTTTGAAGTATTTCTGCTCCATATTATTTTACTTTACCTTTATCTCGTTCGTTTTTCTCTTAATCAATACGCTGCTAACTGTAACAAACCAAGATATTCTATATTTCTTACCATGAAAAAATAAACATTTTAAAATTAATAAATTGTATCTCAAATTTTATAATATATTAAATTAATATATGAAACAATTTTAATGCACCTTATTAAGTATAACGCGTATATGAACAAATAATCAAAATTCATCTTTTATTTATGTATTATTTCATATCATAACAAATGTATAGTTTCAATATTCTCAATTTATATAATTCTTAAATGAATGTAAATAATGTTCAATTTATATGCATTTATATTTCCTTTATATTTTTGTATGTTTCCTACATATAAAAAGTTCCTAGTTCAAAATTTATGTCGTGCTTGTTATATGATTAAATATTAGAGTGAAGATGTAATATACATATATATAGTGTTATACATCTTACTTAATCATAATGTGATTCCATTTACTTATTTTTCTTATTCTTATTAAATATAATCATTAGTACTACTTGCATAGTATGAAGGAATATAAAGAATAGAATATTTCAAAATGTAACGAATAATTATATATATTCACGAGTAAAATCGAATAGTATTATACAATATTGTATAAAAATTGTTAAAGCAACTTTACAATGTACATGATTGTGAAATTTTTTAGTTACAACTTTCAATGTTTTTTATTACATAAGCATAGATATCATATTTGTATACTTTATGTATTCATAAGTAACAATTTTACTAGGAAAATAAGTACATATATTTATATTTATGGATGAATTCATTTTATATAATTGCTCTGATTATTTCAATTTTGTAAACTAAAAGAAGAAATATGTGTATCATAAATAAAAGTAAATTTACATAAATTTTCAAAATTCATACAAATATTATGTACACAGGTTTCTTCAATTATGCATTTATTTAACTTATTTTATGTTTCCTGTTTATTCTTTATTTCTGCAATCAATGCTTCTTTAATATGAGCCGCTATTTTCATTTTCTTTCTTTTCTTATTTCTTCCAGATTTCTTCTCTTCAACATTTTTTGAAACTTTTACTTGTGTTTTATTTTTATTTTTCTTCAAACAACTAAGAGGATTTGGGCCACCTTTTTTCTTCTTCTTTTTTAATTTTACTTCTGTTCCATCAGTTATTCCAGCTATTTCTTTTAATACTTTAACATTTTCTTTTTCCCATTCAGTCATTCCTAATCCTTTACAAATATTTTTAGCATATTCACGACTAACTTGTGAAGGTGCTTCCAAAGTTGGTGCTTTACCATGTAAATATAATATTGGAGCACCTGGAATTTTTCTTAAGCAATCCTGAAGTTCTCTGTCTTGTGTAGCTATGATATACCTAGAAAAAATATAACAAACATATACATACAATATCGTTAACTTTTAATCTCTACCTAGTGAAACTTTTGTTATACCTGAATGAATTATTTTTTCTAACCATAGATAGTAAACATTTTGTGCCACTAATTGAATATTTTTCGTGTCCACATTTATGTATAGGATATTGCTTAACAATTTGCATAGCACCACTAACTGCTTTTGAAAATGAACTTAATTTTTCTGTTTCCAAAATAATACATGGTGTAGTTAATAATTTTACTTCAGATTGAAAATACTTTGATAACTGATCTTGTATATTAAACTTATTCTAAAAAGAATTAAAAATTATTACAAATTCACATAAAATATTAATTCTAATTACAATGACTTAAGTATATACATATATTTTAATGCAAACCTCTAACGCAGCTAAAGTAAATGTACCATCAATAAGAACTTGAAACGGCGATCTAAATTTAAAATTGTTAACAAAAAAGCCTAAATTTCTTCTTGCTTTTTTTTGACGGACTGTTTTCATATTGTTATTTTTTAATACACTTCAAAATGTTCATATATACATTTAACCTCTAAAGATTTAACCTCTAAAGTGCTGTAATAAAATGACAAAACATCGTAGGGATAGCTTCTATAAACATAAATATATCTACAAATATAGAATACAGAAAAATCACTTTTTATATAATTTTACTGCTAAAATTAACATAAGAAATATAACCTCTATGGCTATGTTAAAAGTGGACTGAATACCTGAAGGTGTTCAGAAGCAAAGTAAGCGTCGTATTGCCTTAGTGATAAATTTAAACACAACTACTACATAATTTGTATACCATTTCTGAAAAAAAATTTCATTATCGATTTCATTCGTAAAAGAAATTTATCAAAATGTAAATATTTACACAGTATTTTCACATTAATATTAATTTTCGCATTTATATATCAAAACTTAACCTTACTCTTTTATATAAATTTCATATGATACCTATAATTTTCCTTTTCAAATTTCCATCAATATTTAAATTTTGTACTAACAAAAAAAAAAAAAACTATTTTTAGGTCTTCTTTAACTAAGCCAAAGTCTGAAATGACTCCTGAGGAATTAGCAAAACGAGAAGAAGAAGAATTTAATACTGGACCACTTTCGGTATTGACTCAATCTGTGAAAAATAATACGCAGGTTTTAATTAATTGCAGAAATAACAAAAAATTATTAGGAAGAGTAAAAGCATTTGATAGACATTGCAACATGGTTTTAGAAAATGTGAAAGAAATGTGGACTGAACTTCCACGTACTGGAAAAGGAAAAAAGAAGGTGAAGTACTATAAGTAAAAGACATTTTACTAAAGTTTATAATTGAAAATATAAATGAACAATTGTTTCTGTTTAGGCAAAGCCAGTAAATAAAGACAGATTTATCTCAAAAATGTTTTTGAGAGGAGATTCTGTCATTCTAGTTCTACGAAATCCTTTAGCAACAGCATCAGGAAAATAATTTTATAAATAAGTTCACTATTTTATAACTATTATTTGATAAATAAAAACTTCAAAATTAATTATTTAATTAAACACAAATGTGTATAATTTATTTGTGTTAACAATTATATTTTGAACTTAATAATATACTTTTTGTTATATTTTAATTATAAAAATGAAACAGTATTAAGCAAGACATGACATTTATTTGTAATGAATTATACATAAAATCATTAATCTTTCTCAGCAATTGCAGTAAGATGCTTATCAATTTCTTGTTCCGTTAAGGTTCTGAAATACAAAAACAGATATTTATTAGATATTTATTTTATATAGCCATTTTATATATGAAACAGAAATAATAATAATAATATAATTACCGAAATTTGGGATTGTCCTTTGACACAACACCAACTTCTATCTCTGAAGGTTTAAAATCCACTGATAAAACAGTAGATAAACATGTAATTGCTAACTGTATCGTTTCATCATGATCATAGTTTTGTTTCTTCTTCAATTTTTTTTCCAAATAAGAATTGGCTTCAGTTTGTTTAGCACCAACAGAAATGGCTCTATAACCACAATAATATCCTGCAGGATCAGCTTTATAAACGCAAGGGCCTTTTTCTTTATCATATGAAATAAGCATCATAGAACATCCAAGAGGCCGCATCTCTGCATTTTGCGTATATACTTGACTAATGTCTGCAATACGTCTGCATAATGCATCTACAGGAATTTCATACTCATATTTGTATTTAAAATGAGCTGCTTCGTATCTTGCACGTTGAACTTGAGATCTGCTATCAGCTAAAATAGATATCAGAAAAAAGTCATTAATAAAAAAAATTAATAAATATAACAACAAAAGAAAAAATCTAAATATTTATATAACAATGATTGAGAGAAATCCTTTTTATTTCAATCATTGTTATACAAATATTTAATTTTTCCTTTTATTATATTATATTTATAAATTTTCCTTATTAAAAATTCTTTAACAATGATTGTGCCTACCTATCATGCCTGTTACGAGGCAACCGATGTGCTCAGTGAGTTGAAAAATATGAGTAACACTGGAAGCATCAAGCAGCTTATCCTATAAAGCAAATATCCTTAAATTTGATAAGTTTCCATTATTTACAGAATGTTCCTTAAATATTATATTACATGGATCGGGAAAGAGAGGATAATATAAAAAACTAATAGAAATAACAATAACAAGAGGTTATCTTACAGGCACTTTCTTTTGTGTAGCAAAAACAGCTGTTTCGACTCCTTTTACAGCAACAGATGTCAAACCACTTTGATTTATCGCTTTAAACGCATACTCTGCAAAATATTTAATACTTTTAGTTTAAAAAGTTCAAAATTGCTGATCACGCTGTCATGGTTTCCGCATAGAAAATTAGTGTAGAAGTTAGTAATTTGAAAGACATCGATCAAGAAAGAAAAGCTACTTGTGTTTTAATACAAAATATTTTCATAAATCTTACCTACTTGGTAAAGTCGCCCTTCAGGTGAAAAAATTGTAATATGTCTATCAAAACCAGCACTACTACCGCGCGCCATATTCGCAAATAATGTTAATGGTTGCCTTTAAAAGGTGCAGGCAACTTTTTGAAACGTCAAATCATGCAAGATGTGTATTAAGGTAATTTACATTGAACGACATAAATATTTATTGGATCGATTTACACGTATTGTTCTTATATTCATTTACAATAAATATAATCACAACCGACATAAAATTTGATTTTTGGCAAATTTTTAAATTTATCTATCAATTACTCTTACGATTTTAATGAATTTTTTTTACATAAAATTATTCTTTTTAACATCTTTATTTAAAAATTAAATAATAATTAAAAAAGGATAGTTCTTTAGTATTGTTAATTAAAAGTTCTTTAATATTGTTAATTTTGAAGAAATATTTCGTTCTAAAAGTAATGTGTTTTGTCATGAATATTTTTGTACATAAAAGCACTCATATTAGTAGACTCTATTATAATTATTTAGGAAACATATTAACACTTCTACGTGAAAAAATGAAACCGTTTAAATTGAAGTTTCTTTATTAACAATACATATATACTACATATGCATGTACCCTATAAATAAAGTTCGCGATATCTCTTAACATCTCAAACTTGTTTTGATCGAGATCGAATCTGATTGATTTTATACATGTAACTCAGCGTATATATGTGACACACATCGATATGGATATACATTGAACATCAGATTAAATAAGCAATGGAAATCTTATCTAAATTACTTTACTTAGTTACATGAGTATGTTATATGTGGCGTGTTAAATGATACGTATTTCTTAAAGTACTCTGCTGATATTAAAAACTTTTCCAGTACGCTGTGATACACCACTCAAGCGACGCTATTTACCAAAGTACAAATGTCTGCATCAACAGGTAAAAATATTTTATATTAATCGATATTAAACGTTTTATAAAAAAAAAAAAACATTTGTACAGGTTAAAGATATTATTTATATATTATTCATAAAAACTGTACATTATTGATCGCATGAGATTTTTCTGAGTAAATAAACTTTTGACATAAGTGTCGATCATATGACCTTCCACAAGATTCGCTTTATTTCTTTTTTATGTTCTAAACATATAGTGGTTTGTGAAACTAATAATAATTTTTACAGTTTGTTATACATTCTGTATAATTGAAATCAAATCGAAACCCGCGTGAGTCTGTATTATGTACTGTTTATTGTTCTGATTGAAACAAAATCCATATGACGATTAAAATTTATATTATGATTCATAGCATTCGAAAATTGTAAGTAATGTATATATATGCAATATATTATAATATATATAATAAAACAAAATATATAATGTATTGATTGATTGTATGTTTATATTGGATAATGTACTTTAATGCATTGATATAATATACACATAATATAAATTTTGTATATATGCATAAAAATTAATACATGCATGAAAATTTTCAGGTGATAGAAACAGCCTGAAAAATGGCACAGAAGCTCTAAAGGAAGAATTTGATCCTACTGGTTAGAATCTCTGTTTTTATGAAGAAATTATTTCAAATTCAAGTTCTATGTATCATCTATTAGATCAATATTTTATAGAACATCAGCATATTCGATATAATCCCTTGAAGGGAGAATGGGTGCTAGTGTCACCTCATCGAATGAAACGACCATGGGGAGGGCAAATCGAAACAGATATAGAAGAAAATCTCCCAGATTATGACCCAAATAATCCACTTTGTCCAGGCAATATCAGAGCTAGTGGACAAGTAATGCTTTTAAATAACTAATAACTAAAAGGATCTATACGACTTTTTGATTTTAAATATTTTTATTTCCTAGATAACTCCAATATATGAAAATACATATTCATTTGTCAATGATTTTCCTGCATTATTGGAATCAGTTCCTAGTCCATCTAAATCAGAAGATGAATTATTTCAAATGGATGCTGCCAGAGGTACTTGTAAAGTAATGTGTTTCCATCCAAAATCAAATGTAACAATAGCACTTATGAAAATTTCTGAAATTAAAGAAGTGGTTAAACGGTATGTTAGTAATTTAGTTTGCTAACATTAAAAAACAACTAATTAACATTTTATGTAATAAATATCATTGTGATTTAGTTGGATTTTTGAAATGCTCGAGTTGGGAGAAAAATGGACTTGGGTACAAATTTTTGAAAACCGTGGTGCTGTAATGGGTTGTAGCAATTCACATCCTCATTGTCAAATTTGGGCTAGTTCTTTTTTACCAAACGAAGCTAAAATAAAAGATAAATATCTCAGCGATTATTATAATCGTAATAAAAAGCCGCTTCTGATAGATTATGTACAGAAAGAGCTTTTCAAAAAGGTAAAGTATTATCAAGAAAATTTAAATTAAAATTTTTTAATTTAAGTGTGGTTTATATTATATATAGGAGCGTATTGTACTGGAAAATCGAGATTGGGTAATTCTAGTACCATTCTGGGCAATATGGCCATATGAAACTATGGTACTGCCCAAGAAACAAATATCTAGGATGCAGGATTTATCAGAAAGTCAACAAGAATCACTAGCAGCTACTATGAAAATATTGTGTACCAAATATGATAACTTGTTCCATTGTTCTTTTCCTTATTCTATGGGTTGGCATGGTATGGTTTATTATTAAATATGTTCATTTTAAAAAAAAGATTAATCATAATATTTAATTTATTTTACGTGAAGGAGCGCCAACTGGACCATATGTAAAACAAGATTATCCTTATTGGACTTTTCATGGAATTTACTTACCGCCATTATTACGTTCAGCGACTATAAAAAAACATATGGTTGGTTATGAACTTCTTGCACAAGCACAAAGGGACTTAACACCAGAACAAGCAGCAGAAAAATTAAGAAATTTATCAGATACCCATTACAAGCATCCAGAAACCAGTTTAACGAGTTGTGAAATAGAAAAGTATTCTAAATGAATTAATTCGCTTTATATATAACTATATATTTTTATAAATGTATGTATCATTCACATATACATTATTTATAAAAATGTAACGTCGAACATCACATAATGATACACACACATTAATTTTATGAATAAAATTCAATAAACATGAAAGTAAATAATTACAATTTTATGTTGTTAATATACAGGAAATGTACAATCAATTTTTTTACTCCAAGCATGAATGCCGCCAATTACATCTTTTATTTCTATATTACTTCCCTTAAGTGTTTCTTGAAGACTTTTTACAGCTTTCTGTGAATCATTTCCCCTTCTACATATAACATACACTAAAACAAATATATACATACATTTTAACATAAACAAATATATACTTACAACTTTAACATAAAATATTAAAATATTAAGTAAAATATACATACAATTAGCATCATTGTGTTGTTTCTGTATTTCTTGTATTCTATTTCTTATTAATGTTACTTTTTCGTTATTATTAATGTCACGCAATGGTATATTTATAGAATTCTTTAAATGACAAATGTCAAATTCTTCAGTCGATCGTACGTCGATTAAGAGATGAGCTTTTGTACCTAATTTGAATGTTGTATTATATTCTTCCACGCTTATTCTTTCTTCATTTTTTAATAAATTTAACTTGGGCTCTTTATCATTTGCTTTTGCACCACAAAATTGTTCATAATCAATTAATTTGTATAGAGTTGGATGTTCACCGCAAATAGCGCAGTTCCTATTTTTACCACGTAAGTTTATCTTACGAAACTTCGTTTCTAGTCCATCAAATAATAGAAGTTGACCAGATAGTACATGCGGGAGATCGAGTACTATCTTCAACGCTTCTAGTGCTTGTAGGACACCAATGGTACCAACGGCTATAATTAAATTAAGAAGTGAATGTTTTTTAAGTAAAAAAATCAATAAGTTAATTAAAAAATAATACCTGGACCAAAAACACCACCATCCCCACAATTTGTTACTGTTTCTGGAGGAGGAGGTTTAGGAAATATGCATCTATAGCAAGGTCCATTGTAATTAAATACAGATAAGTGACCTTCAAATTTTAATGCTGATCCAGATACTAAAGGTTTATTACTTAGAACACATGCGTCATTCAATAAGTAACGTGTAGCTACATTATCAGTAGCATCTATCACTACATCATAAGCTTTTATTATATTCAAAGCATTACTGCTATCTAGTTGAATTTTGTATGGAATAACATTAACATCACTGTTTAAACTGAAATTAATATAAATACATCATGAATTTTATCTCATCAAACAGGTACTCAACATATATACTTATAATATCTGTGCTGATCTACTACATTTATATACAAGTACCGATTAAGATTTTCTGCAGCAGCATTTACTTTTGGTGTCCCAATATGTGTTTCTGCATATAACAATTGTCTATGAAGATTGTTAATTTCAACATCATCATAGTCAATTATACCAATTTGTCCAGCACCAGCAGATGCTAAATATAATGCAGCTGGACATCCAAGTCCACCTGCTCCTACAATCAATATCGAGCTGTTTTTTAATTTTATTTGACCTGAAATCGTATAATGAAACATGTTATAGATAAATAGAAACTATTGGGGAAAAATAAATAAAAGATAAATAAAAATATTAAAAAGCAATAAATTTTGTGTAAAATCAATGTTTTAATTTTAATATTTTATAAATAAGATACACCTTTAATACCAATTTCTGGTAAAAATATTTGTCTGCTATATCTTAATATTTCTCCGTTACTCAAACCGTAATCTTGTAAGATTTGTTTTTCGCGCCTCAGAGCAACTAGTTGAGCTTCCTTTATACGTAACAATTCACGCAATTCAGTAATTTGATTCATTAATTCTTTCTCGTCCATTTCTCTAGAAAAATATGTTTTCAACACATTATTAATCTACTGGCTTAACAAATGGCTTAAGAAAGTAATTAAAAAAGTAATAAAAAATTAATATTTTTTATTAAAAGAAACCACTTAGGTTATACTAACATCTATCTAAAAGATGGTCAGTTGGAAAATTGTATTACAGAAATAGTAAATGCATATATATGTAAGGAATAATAGATAAAACTTAAAACGTAGTAGAGTGAAAATAACTGTAATCTTTAGTATTGTATTATTAATCTTGAATATTATCACTTTTTTTTAATGCTTTACAATCACACACATGTATGTATATATCTACATATGTTATGACATCTACACACATTTCACATTTAAGACGCAATACGCAAATGATATTGACACTACATTTTACGTATTGGTGTAGATAAGGCGCTTAAATTAAATCTTTTAATTAACCTTTAATTTCTTCCAAGTACATAGTAGATAAAACTAGTATAGCAAGAATAAGAATTTTAGTATACTTAGTACTTCATATTTTTAATATGACTTTTAATGAATATTTACTTTTGAAATAATATTTAACCATTTTATTTCACTAGTAGAGGAAAGAATTTTTCTTTAACTTTTTTAAATATTCATTGTCGCAGACTTATATTAAGTAAATTATAAATGAAACAATTACAAATTAAATTACAGTGTTTCTAAAGCTCTCCACTCTACAACAACGTGCGTGAAACATATCTTCGGGTGGATACTATGACCGCGTGGTTTTGTGAGCGTCCCAAGAAATTAAAGAGGAAAGAGGTAGCGAGATCTGGAATGATTAAAAATAGCTAGTTCATTAAAAATTACGATGTATTTTATTTCGATGATCTTTACGAGATCTGTGTATTTATTTGCACAGTGTCGTGCGCAATAACTTTAATAGTCTTGGGCAAAGGTAGGAAGTTGATTAATGTCACGGTCAGTGAGGTTCTTGACGAAGTATATGCAGGAAAATCATAGTTTTGTAAGTGACAACTAGAGTATTATTTGTGAAGAACTTTAATTATAATATACATTAAGATGGTGGAACCAATTTTTAATTATCAGTTCCGTCTGATACTGATTGGTGACAGTACAGTCGGAAAAAGTTCATTGCTGAAATATTTTACCGATGGAAAGTTCGCAGAGGTATGTAGTGATTCTAACCGTTATCGTCAACAAGGTTGATAAAAATTGATTATAAAAATATCACGTCTATATTTTGTTCTCTTGTTATTTTTCATAATGTTGAAAAAAAAGAAAATTGTACCGCAGTCAGTGTCAAAATTGAAATTAAAATAAGATTTTATGTTTTATGTTTTTGTAGTATTTCCAATTTTTCTGAGCTAATAATATTTACGTAGTTGATTGCTATATTTTTAAATAAAGAATTCAAGACGATACAAAAATGTCTAAAAACTATAGTGTCCTGAGAATTTTTATAATGTGAAATGAATTAGTTCTAATATTCAGTTATAAATTATTGCATGCGTTATATAATTAATAGATCAATGAACAATAAACAAAAAAGTTCCTTTGAACATTTTTATGTTTCACCTTTAATTTGTCATTGACCTTCTTGTACAGTATATTTTTTTTTAATAAAATAAAAAATAATGTGTTTATACTTGATCTTTTTATACTTAATATGATTATATATATCTTATTTGATTAGCTTTCAGATCCAACAGTAGGAGTAGATTTTTTCGCTAGATTAATTGAATTAAAAGATGGAACAAAGATAAAATTACAATTGTGGGACACAGCTGGCCAAGAAAGATTTAGGTATATTATTACATATTGTATTAATATTATAATATTCTATTGAAAAGAAGAAATATAAGATATAAGCTAATACATGTAGAATAATGCAACATATTGTTTATCTTAGGTCAATTACAAAATCATATTATAGAAACTCTGTTGGAGTCTTACTTGTGTATGATGTCTGTAATAGAGCAAGTTTTGAACATATTCCTCAATGGATGATGGATGCTCGCAGACATATCGAACCACATCGCCCTGTATTTGCATTGGTAGGTTGTAAATTAGATTTAGTTACCAATGGGAGTAGACGAGAAGTTTCAAAGGAAGAAGCAAGAGCTTTTGCTGACCAACATGGAGTACATCATATTGAAACCAGTGCAAAGACTGGAATTAATGTTGAAGAGGCATTTCGAATAGTTACACAGGAAGTTTATAGTAGAATACAGACTGGTGAATACAAGTTAGAAGATGGTTGGGATGGAATAAAAACTGGATTTTATAAACCTAGTGGTTTTGATTTTAATCTAATTGAAGCAGAACCTGCAGAAACTTCTTGTTGTTAAACGAAAATTTAGTTTATTAAGGATGCAGTTGTTTGTAACAATGTTCAGGATGCAGTGGTAGTAAATTTTTTAAGTTTTCCTAAATCTTGATATTAAGGGAAAAAATGACAGATATAAAAAATTTTTAGATTAATATTATTTAACGATAATGAAGGAAAATCATATTCTTACATTCCACTGCATTCTAGTTTTAGAAGAGAGACTTACAATAAATGTGTATAAATCTTGATTAGACATTTTTGTACATAGCTTGTATAAACAAATGATTATATGTCATTGAAGCACATGGGCATTGAATTAGAGTTTTTTTTATCTTATTTAAGAAATAAAATATTTCGGTATGGAGAAAGTTTATAGTATAATTATAACTATAATATTTTTTGAATTTTATGAAATTTATGAATTAATGATTTTGTATAAGAAAAAAATGATGGCTGTGCTTCTTTGTCAAAATGATCTTTTAAATGCTGTAGTAAAAATTTATTGTCAAATCTGGAAATGTAAAACTTTTTTATTATAATACGGAATATTTATTTCTGGCGAGAACGATATAAATTTAGGAAAAATTCTCAAAATAAAAGAGTAAATGTTTGCGTTTTACATACAAGAATTATTAGTAAAAAATTATGTCGGTTATATTGATTTATTATTTCCTAAATTTTTAATTTCAATGCCACAGTTTGTAATAATGTCACATAGAAGAGCCAAATTTATGTATATACATATGTTCGTATTGTCCATATTTAATTAAAGCCAAACAAGATAATACATCAGTAATTACATTAATTAATTTATAAAACAGTAAGAAACGAACTATGATGTATGTGTTCTAATTTTAAAACAACATAAAGTTATTCTGTACATATTATATTATATAATTATATCAAGATATAAGAAAATCTTGTTATAAAATAATAGATAGTGTATTATAATTTGTATAAGTTATTATAAATTTATCTGCTTTATTATATCTTTATCACAAGACATGTCAGTTTGAAATGATATAAGAAATTTATATATCTAATGTAATATTTTTAATATAACTAATTTTTATTGAATGATACATTTTATACTTTTTCATATCAATCTTTTAAAAAGAAAGTTTTTGACTTCCAAGCTATAAGTTAAGAATATAAACATTTGCATATTCTTAATGCAGGAATAAATAAGTCCAATAAATTTCATTCAGATAAATATTATTTATGTGATTTGCATTTCTCACTGCAAGTCTAAGTAGAGAGATGTTTATTTCTATACAGTAACGGATGTTATTTATAATAAATAATGTATATTAAATAGTGTGTGGTGAAACCTGCGTTTGTATAAATAATGTAAGTAAATGCAGCACGAATAGAATTTATTTATGAAATTTTATACTCATTAACTGTGGCATAAGACAAAACTTAGTAAATACTGCGAATTAATAATATATAACTTATCATTACATTTGTATAGCTATATAACATTTATTTTTTTGTCAATGTAGTAATAACGTGTACATATAATATTGTAATATGCTAATTACAAAATGACTTTTGCATCTATAAGAAATGTAAATTTGTTTCTTTCTGTTTTAAAATATTTTTTTGTATATAGAAATTAGCAATGTTACATTGAAGACATGGATCATAAATCTGTGTTATATTGTTTTAATATGTGAATAAAATTATAATTGTACGTAATACGCGAAAAATGGAAACAAACATACATATATATATATATATGCTTTAAAATGCATATTTTGTAAGAATTGTTTTCTCAAAGTTTATTTTATGTATAATTTGACAATTTTAGGAATATGTACACTTTTGTGCACTACACATTTATACATAATCATGTTGAAGAATAAACATTATAGAATTATATATTATTTTTTGATAATGTAATGCATGATATTAATTGACATTATTTTCTGTGATATATATCAGGAAATTATGAATAATTTTTACGTGTTTGTTTCAATATAAATTAATTTTCTTATTTTTTTTTTAGAATAAATTAATCACAGGACAGAGAAAGAGTATTTCTATTAAATTTGATATTGATATTTTTTATTTATAATATGTATATAAAATGTACTGTGTGTTTTGTATAGTTTGAAGGCTATTATTTTTACAGGCTGTAACAAATTAGTCAAAATATCGATCAGATATAGTTTCATATTTAATGTACAATTAATGTAGAATATATACAATATTTACAAGTCAATGTTCTTTTGTCCTTATGTAATGATTAAATTATACAGATCTTTTGTAAACTAAATATTTATATCTGAAATGTAAAATGTTCGAGTACAACTAAAATATTATATATTATTATTGGCAGTTACTTATTCACGTAAGTATAAAACATTAGCTGAAAAGTATGTAATTAATTTTATAAGAAAATAAATTGAAAAAAAAATGATTTAAATGATATTATTAATAAGAAGTAAATAAGTAAAATCATTATCAAGAAATATAGTTGAATTTGTTTTCATTTTGGTAAAATAATATTAAAAGAATTAATCAAATCATTCAAAGATAAGAAAACATAAATTGTATCTTAAACACATATAATTTGTAAAAGTCATAAATATTTATATTACTTTAAAGTTGCTAAATTATATACATGCTTACATTATGCTGACATATGTTTTACAAGCACCTATGTATGTAGCAATAATTATATTATAAATTAATAACTTGCATAGATTTTTTATCGATAACAAAAACGTAGTTTACTATGATATTTGTAATATATTTATATATCTTTTTTAAATTAATTTATATACTATAAAAGTAGTATTAAAAGTGTATAACTTTTTAAATGTTATATAATCTTTTACTTTTAGCTTGGCAATTAATAAAATCTTTAATGTATATAACAAAACAATAGCGTATTAAATTGTTCACAAGATTAAATTTAAGTTAAAAATGGTAATAGTAATCTTATTAATAACATAAAATTTTATATTTATAGTCCTAAAGTCCTTTTGTTATAAATTCTTATTTTTAATAATATTTATTATCTTGGAAGATAAATCTAAATAATTTAATTATATTTAAAGTGACTAGAAATGTTGCTATATATTTGGCTATTAATACACATTTCTTATTTTGGCAAGAATGATGATGCAAATTTACGAAATTATGAACAAGTTTTTAGAAATATTCTATTTAGAATTTATAACATTTACTTTTGAATATTATTTTCTAAAATTATTTACCTGTACATCAAGCAATTGAATATATATATTTTGTATGTACAAAACAATTTACTATCTGCGGATTATATACATAAAAATCATCTTCTAAGGGAAGAAAGGAGATACAATTTTGGAATTATAAACAATTTGTTATGAATATGGAATGATTAAATCTCAATTCTAATGGGAATGAATTATCAGGTAAACTCGATGTGCAATAAAAATATTAAAAACTGATACAGAATGAAGGATGTGGAATAATATTAGAATTTATATATTCCAAATTGTGAATAATTTTTCTTCAATCGATTTCTTTTAATTTGATACCTCATTTGCTGATCATTTCAATAAAGAAAAAAAGAGTAATAATGTAAAATTACATAGTTGAAAACTTAAAATGGACGGACTTTCAATAGAAAAACGAAATCCAGATATTGATGAAGTTTTACACTACATATAAATAGTTTTATTTAACTTACTATGATTTCAATTAAGAAATTTTAACTAAATGATGAAATCAGCTGAGGTTTTAATCACTAATAACATTTTGAAATGTCAAGTAAATTAAAAGAAGATTAGAAAATGATATGATTATCTAATGGAGTTGTAAAACTGATAGATCAATAATAATGTGATAATACAAAGTGCTCAAGGGACATAATTTTGCAATGTCGATGCGGAAACGTATGCCTACCAGACTAGTATTCATTGGATACATATTGGTAGAGCTTACACTTTCCGCTTCTTTGTAGACTAAGGTGGGCCCTAGAAGTACCTACAACATAACGAATATTTTATTAACATGTTATCTTTCCAAAACTTTGATTGATTATACGAAATATCTAAAATATTATCTAAAATATTTTTGAGGATAATTACTGATACCAACCAATATTTATTTTTGTCCAAGCATTTTATCTTGAAATGTTCCTTCAATTATCTATGATTATATTTTGCATCTAATTTAAAGGCGATTCATGAGAAGATATTCTTCATGATAGTTTATCCTTTACTTTTTCAACAGTTGCATTTATATAATAAGTAAGGTATTGACATTGCAAGAAATCACTTATTACATAGTTTTACTGTTCCAATGATTCACACCCAAATAAAACATATTCTTCTCTTGACAACCAAAATGGGTTACCTTCTATATATTCTGGCGGTGTTTTGTCTAAAATAATAATTAGAATAAATTAATTGTATCTATATAAATATGATTTTAACATAAAAATTAGTATATATTTACCAGGATGCACAGCTAAAGGCACATATGTGGAACCCATTGCAACATTCCAACTATGAGTACCAGGACAACTTCTCACTTCTAATATCTTGCTATGTTCTGGTAATAATTCTCGTAAATCTTTAGTTAATCTTAACCCAAAACCTGAGAGATGTGTATTGCCTCCAGTAAGCAAAATGTGTGAAAGACAATCATGCAATATATCTTCTGATAAACCAGAAGTTACATCTTTTATCACTTGTGGTAAACCAAGATTAATATACATCATTTCAGGAGCAATATATAACTCTGAACCTAAGGAAACTCTCTAAAAATATGTAAATAATTATTGTAATGTTAAATATGATAAAACTTTAACTCTATGAATAAACATGTAAAATTTACTAACCAAAAATTGCTTATTATCAGCATAGCTTCGAACTCTCACTTTGATACATTCCCCAGTTTTTTGTCCTACTCTCTTTTCTTCATTTTTAATATTGTAACTTAATCTACATCTTTCTTTAATAGGTAGTGTATCTAGATATGATATAGGAATATGATAACATCCTTTTAAATACCAATGCATAGCTTGTTTTAAATGGTAAGCTACATGCCAACCACCAACAGGTAACAATCTCCAACGTTGTGGCATAACACGTCCACCAATTACAACAGCTACTGTTGTACTTAGAGCACCACTATCAACTACCACACAAGTTTCCACATCCAGCATTGCACATGCTGCTAAAGGCTTAGGAACCAGACAAACTCTAGAAATTTAATTATTTTTTAAAAGCATATTTTCTTTTTATAACATGTCTTTTTCTTTTCTCACCTTGATACTTTGACTTCTTGAAACAAATAATGCAATAATTGTTTCCTTAACAGTGGATGCATAGCTAATGGTTCACAAAACATTAGCACTGCATTAGGTTTTCTTAATGTCGACGTTAATCTCATCTGATGAAACAAGTGACCGACAAATGTTTTAAGAACAGGAAATGTTCCATCACTTAATAATGCCTCTGCCGGACTAACAAGATCAACATTTGGAATTCCAAGTACCTCAACAGTATCAGTGCAATATCCATTTATAAGTTTTTCATAAATTGGATTTGGTCTTGCATAATATGCTGGATCATTCTGATGAGTAATCAATCTCTTTTTTTCTCTGTATAATTTCACAGAATTGCAAAAAACACAAAAAGGACCGCTAGGTCTTGGAATTTTAGCTGTTGCTAATTCAGATAATTTCAATAATTTAAACTTTTTAGCTAGTGATTTCCCATCACATTTAGGACGTGCACTGCTACTTGGAACATTTTGCGTTTGTTCCAAATACGTTTCATTATTGTATTTTGGTACGCCAAACATTGAAAAATGTCTTCTTAATTCAAAATGTGGTGCAATAACCCATGTGTATTTATTTCCAATCTCAATTACTACTTTCGCACTAGAACCTTCAACACAATTTCTTTGACATGTGTAACCACTGCAGTGACGACATTTTGGGAAATGAACATTTTCTCCTAATGTAATTACCATGTACAATCTGTAACACATCGCTTTAAAGCTTATGTTAAGTAACTGTAAACACTTTATATCTGGAAATCTAAAGTGCACCTTCGAAATCAACTGTAACCACTTCATTTTCCTGTGAAAAACATGAATGAATTGTACAAACAGTTGACAGCAATAGTTCTTTCAAATTGTGCATATTTCAATGAAATTAATCAATGATAAATTTCTTTTCTACAATAATTTATTTGATTATTACGAAACTTGCCAAAGCATTATTTAAATTTAGAACCCTGCATTGCAAATTTACAACAATAATAATTTTTATTCATTGCAATGATAACTTTTATTAATTTTATAAGTGAGTTGTTGGCTTCAAAGTACTTTTGTCATAAACTTAACTCAAACTCACCACAAGTAATCAGTGTCTGAAGCTTTTCTTAAATATTTGCATGTATTGCCTATAGCAATAATGTCAGGTACATCGCAGTATAATAAAATTTTTATCCAAATTTCTTCAGGGAAGATCGAAGGATCCATAATTACTAATAAAAATGATACAAAAGGTACAATTAGTAGTTACTAATACAAGATTGCAGACACTCCCCAGAAACAGTGAATACGTTAGTCAAGTTCAAGGTTACAATGATGAAAATAGTGAATCAATATGTTATCGACACATGATACTTCACTAGGAATTACCACAATGCTGATAAAACCTGTCATGAAACTAATAATAAATGTTGTTTCAGATGAGATACACGATACCTATCGCTATAAATAAGATAGATCATGGTTATTTTTTTTTTTTTTTGTTCACTTCACCAACTTTGATATGTACTTGGATTCACAGACAAGATGTACCTCGTCTGCGCCAATGACTTTTTATGTCGGTATTTCAGATGACGGGTCACGAAACCCTGTAAGATGCTTGGTCTACTCATGTATCTCGTTGGTGTTTAAACGTAGAGTGCGCTAAAAAACCAATGATACAGACGAGGTCACAATACCTCGTCTGTGCTTTAGTCAATGGTGTTACATTTGATGCAAAGCGATTTGTGGGAAATCTATTTGTTTAAGTCCGACTAAACTTGACTCGTATTACTTATTTATGTCTGGATACATGTTGACTTGTATTACTTGCTTATATCCGATTATACTTTGATCTACACTACTTGACCCCCAAAATATGAGGCACGAAAGAATTGAATGTCCGATTTATCCCAGATAGCTAATGATCAAATATATTGCCTACTCTCGCTGCTTATAACGCAGAAGGCATAACCACGTATCAATATTGGCTATTGTTCTTGTCCCCTTCCTTGTTTATCACACGATATATGTGATATCTGTCTTTGTTTCACGCTATTGCGTTTTTTATTTGTGAATATAGTGATTATGATAATTTATATTTATATCACAATACTATAAATAAATAATAACTCCGTAATTAATTTTAGTTGTTTATATAAAAATATTATCAATATCACGAAATATACAATTACTAATAATTTAATGAAGATTACATAATGGAAGTTAAATGACGAAATAACGAAATAACGAATGAAGAATTTCTACTATGGCTACAATATATATAAGTAAACATTTCTATGGTGATAATAAAATTAATAGCTATTTTTAGTAGAAGTAGAGGTCGCTACAGGAACAAAGGAAGTGCTGCCATCTATCGGAACTGTTTCAAACTATGTAATGAGATTGTAGCGACCTCTACTTCGAAGAATTTAGATCAACGACATCTATGTTCCGTCGAGATGTGTATTTAATATAAACAACAGAATATTTAAAAATAGCTATTAATTTTATTATCACCATAGAAATGTTTACTGACACATATATATTGTAGCCATAGTAGAAATTCTTCATTCGTTATTTCGTTATTTAACTTTCATTTATAGAAATTATTCGTCATTTAA